ATTGAATGTGTTTTTCTTTTTTTATTTGTGTGAAATTTTCTTTTAAGGTTCATGAGAGCACGCAGATTAAATAGTATAACAGTGATGTGTCAATCACTACTAAAAGTGTTAACAAAAGTCAGTAGACTTAGATAAATCTGGTAGGGAGAGAAACTGAGGAACACTATAAAAACTAAAGAATAAAGTGAAACAGGAAGTACAGATGTACATGCACAAGATTTATTTCCTTTTATGTTTTGGTTAAATGTCCAAACCTTTATAATCTAAAGCACATATGTATTGTTGATGCTATAAAACAACTTGTACAATATAGTGAACTTGATCATGGGTGCTTCAGTGCTTGATGTTTGGTTTTTCTAGTGCTGTGAAACTCCACTGATGCTCTTATTCAGACATGAGTGTGAATGTGAACCAATGATAGTCTTTCTAAAAATTCATTTCCATGTGTTTTGGCTTTTTGTTCAGATTGAAATGGATGTTTTAATGCTGTCTCTGTCTCTCGGCCTGTAAATGCAGGTCCATGTAGCTTTCTTTCTCTCCCTCATTATATGATGATAATGCAAAATAAAATAATGTTAGAGAATGATGAGTGATGACATTAATGCTCCAGTGTGTTTGTTTTTTATAGAACGCAGGTTTTCATGAATTCTAATGTCTTACACTTTCACGTAGAGCTATTGTAATTTCCCTATGTGGTTAGAGGGAATACTGAATGACTAATTTTTTATTAAAATGTTTATCATATGGCTAAAACATTTTGAGTTCTCTAGGGATGCAAGATGTAGGATTGTGTATCATTCCTGATCTTATAACAGACATGGTTGATGCCTTTTAATACCAGAAGAGGGAGACATTTAGTAAATTATACGACTGTTTAGAACTGTTGGACTAGAAGTAACTAACAAAAATAAATATGCAAAATAAAGTACATAAACACAACTGAAAAGATTATTATATTGACATTTACATTTTGACGTTATTTTTTCTTGTAAAGTACGCTACCATTCAGAAGTTTGAGGTCGGTAAGTTTTGCATTGTTTCAAATAAATGCTGTTTTTTTTTTTTTACTTTATATTCATCACAGACAATTTTATCACAATTTTCACATATACAGGTGCATCTCAATAAATTAGAATGTCGTGGAAACAATTAAAAGAACCAAAGACTTAAACTACTTCAGTCTGTGTGCATTGAATTTATGTAATACACGAGTTTCACAATTTGAGGTGAATTACTGAAATAAATGAACTTTTCCATGACATTCTAATTTATTGAGATGCACCTGTATATTGCTATTAAGCTGCACAACTGTTTTCAACATAATGATAAATGTTTGTTGAGCATCAAATCATCATATGAGAAGGATTTCTGAAGGATCATGTGACACTGAAGACTGAAGTAATGATGCTGAAAATTCAGCTGAATAAATTACATTTTAAAATATATTCACATAGAAAACATTTATTTTAAATTGTAATAATATTTCACAGTATTGATGTTTTTACTATATTTTGATCAAATAAATTCAGCCTTGGTATAAGATACTTTTTTTAAAAACATTTAAAAAAAAATCTTACTGACCTCAAACTTTTGAATGGTAGTGTGCACAATCACTTTTACTATTCTACTTAAAATCCACAGTAACCCTGAATTAGAGTTTCTTTTCTATTAGTGTATTAATTAGCATCTTTAAGGAAAAGTTGATCTAGCTTGCATTCATTTTACAAGTGCTACAGTATAAATATCACAATTATTATCAATACCGTGATGGAACAATGATTGATGTCTTGATGGTTTCTTCTCATCTTTGCAAGACAAGTGGTGTTCTGAAATAGACTGTAAGCCAGAAAAAGTGTGGTTTCCTGTTGCGTCCTCCCTGCTTGTGGCAGCACATTTGTTATGATCACTCACTACTAGTGTTGCCAAAACAAGGCCTTCTCTCTCTGTCTGTGTGTGTGTGTGTGTGTGTGTGTGTGTGTGTGTGCGCGCCAAAGTTCTTATAGCACAGAGTATTTCCACAGTGTCAATTAAAATCAAATCGTTAACTATAAATTATAGTTTCCATGAACTCTCTCTCTCTCTCTCTCTCTCAGTTCAAGTTCAAGTTGCTTTATTGGCATGACATTTGTGTTACAGTATTGCCAAAGCATTCTAGATGTGTACAATACAGAATATGATTACACCATCAAAGTAAAAAAGTAGACAAAAAATGAGTAATAAATAAGAGAAAATAAATGAATAAATACAATGAAATAAAAATAACAACAGCAGGCAGTATTTCTAATATTAATAATAATAATTACAATTATATACAATGAAGAATGTCAAATAAAGCTAATTAATTAACCATTTCGTATGGTGTGTAAGGTGTATACATATTTTGCAGCTAGTTTGTCTGCGATCTCATCCTCTCTGAGTATATAGCGTATCCATAGAGTCATCCAGAGAAAAAAATGAACAATTCAATGCTTCAAATTGTAGAAAGAATATTTGCCTTGTGGTGTATTTGGGGCAGACAAGAAGAAAGTGTTTCTCTTCCTCTATTTGATTCAGGTCACAGTGTTTGCATAGTCGCTGTTCTCTCTGTATCCTCTATCTCGGTGCTCTCTCATTCAAGGCCTTCACAGCTAGACTGAAGCCCCCTGATGCTGAGATCTCGACGCCCAGGTAAGTGTAGCAGGTGCTGTGCTCTAGGACTTCTGCTCCGTAAGTGAACTTGTATCTGCTTCCCTGAGACCTGGCCTTCTTCTGGAACACCATGACTCTGGTTTTGTCCAGGTTTACCGTCAGTGCCCATTCCTCACAGCACTGTTCCAGCAGGGCCAGGCTGTGCTGGAGACCCTCAGCAGAAGCAGGTCGTCCGCATACAGCAGGCATTTGACTTCAGAGTCGTGCAGAGTGAGGCCCGGGATGCTGGCGGAGCGGTCCAGAGCTTCTGCCAGCTCGTTGATGTAGATGTTAAACAGTGTTGGGCTCAGACTGCATCCCTGCCTCACTCCACGGCTCTGCTGGAAGAACGCTGTTCTGAGAGTCCCCAGTTTGACCGCACATCTACTGTTTTTATACATGGATTGTATAACATCAAATGTTTTTCCACCAATGCCAATTTGTAATAATTTTATAGTAAACCTTCATGCCAAATAGAGTCGAAAGCTTTTT